TTATTTATTTTCTTTTCTCTCTTTTTTTTGTTTTTTTTGTTTTTTTTTTTTATTTTTTTTCCCTCATAGAATTGAAAGCATAATCACGAGAAGAGTATTGCAATTATTGACCATATTTATCACTTAACTTATAAAATCAAATAAAGCGAAGAAATTTCATCAAATATGCAAAAAATATAGGCATAATTTTCTCCACTTTAAAAGATATACTTTCCTACAAATGCAAAAATTATAATCACATAATAGTCATTTCCAAGTTAAATGAGAAAAGAAGTTTCCAAATTACATATATTTATCTCAAATGTAGAAGAAATTTGAACTACTAATGGTATGAAACTTGTTACCCCTTTGGATAAAATCGAAAAAATTGAAACTTTTTGGGGCAAGTTTGCAGTTTTGGACAAGATTGTAGAAAAATTTTGAATTTTAACACAAGTCCAATATTTGCAACTAATAAGTCAATCACATTCAATGTATATAATCTCAATTCTTCCCCCTACACTTAACATACACATTGTCCTCAATGTGTAAGAAGGAAAATCAAGATAAAAAAATAATACTCCCCTATTGTTGTGATTGAATATGAAGCTTCAAGGTATGTTGTTCGCTTGTCTTCATCGCTTCATGAGTTCCATTTGGTAACCATTAGTGATATAAACCTAAAAATGGAAAATGAGAAACAAAAGTGATAACAAAGGCTTAATAAACATATAACGGTGATCCGTAATTCCCTAGCCTTTGTGGTGGTGATGTACCAATAGAAAATACACAATAAGCAACTCAAGGTACAAGAAAATATATGAGGAAAAGAAGAAAAAGAGAATCAAGGAAGCTGCATTTTTTTAAAAAAAACTCATAAAACGCGAGTAGAAACGCGCCTTCAGATCGCGTTTTGTAGGCGCGTTTCTTCCCAAAAGTTGCAGTACTGAAAACGCGGTTCTGTGAGAAAACGCGACTTGAAGTCGCGTTTTCAATGGCGCGTTTTCACTTTTGATCCAGGCAACAAAACGCGACTTCCATCAAAACGCGACTTAAAGTCGCGTTTTGAAGGCGCGTTTTCTGTTCTGCAGGTGCAGAATCGAAAACACGATTCTGTGAACACGCGACTCAGAGGCGCGTTTTCTTGAGAAACGCATTTTCTGCTGCGAATTTTAGCAGAAATTCAACTTTTGAAAATTTACAAATAATACCCCAATTTTCCAAAATGCATCATAGATCATTTGTTTGCTAATATACTCAATGCATGCACATGTAAAATGATCAAAACATGCATTTTAACCCCTTGTAACGAATCAAAAACAACAATTACTCAAATCGAGGGGTTGAGTTCCTTGATCAAACTTCGCCTTTTTCACCTCATTTGGTCACTTTTGCTTTCATTTCCAATACCTATAAATGAAAAATAACGAAATGACTCAAACACATATTTTAAACATAAAATCACACCAAAATAACATAAATAACCAAAACATTGGGTTGCCTCCCAATAAGCGCTTTTTTTAAAGTCAATAGCTTGACTATTTCACCTCATTTTTCAAGGAGGTTTTGTTAACGAATAATCCACCATTTTATGCCTTGGTGGATCATTGTAAGGTGACTTAATATAAAAAGCCACATGATCTAATGATATGAGAGATGGAAGTGACTTACATATTCCAAGTGTTTCATAGATATTACCTTGAATATGCACCACTTGAGAACTTACCAAAGGAAATGTCATGAAAGAATCTTGGGCAGGAATATCTTTAAAACCTGTACTTTTTATACACTCCTCAAGAGGGGTGAAAAATGAGTCATTAAAACTTACCTCTTGAGGTTCAAAGTTAGTTCCAAATATATTATCATGTGAAATGGACATTTGCTCATTGAAACACAATTGAAATTCATCATTTTCATCAAAATGTAACCCATTTTCACATACAACATTCCCACCATTCATGCTAGGATCATTTTGTAAATTATTAGAAGAAATAACTTCACACAATACATGTAATTGATCTTGTATTCTACCAAAGTGAGAAGCCAATTCATCTATCCTTTCCTCAATCCTATCAAAACGGTCGAAAGTCACATTAGCTAATTTTTCTATAGCTAACTCCCAAGATGGCTTAGAATCATTAGCTACCATTTCAATTGCCAACTCCCAAGATGGTTTTGATTCATATTGGACACTTTCAGGTTGGTAATCATAAGAATATGGAGAATCACTATATACACATTGATTATCCCAACCATAAGCATTAGCACTATATCGATCAAAACAGGGATTGTAATGCTCTAATTCATCATAATAATCCACATTTTGTGCTTGCATACATGTGTTAGTAGCATGATAATCTCCACACAAGTCACAAATCACATGATAAGAATTAAAAGCATTAACATTCCTTCTCTGCTCAATTTCATGCATAATTGTGTCCATCATAACATCAAATTTTGCCTTTAAGCACCTTAAACCATTTTCAAAAGACATACATGCAGTAAATTCTTGGTTACCTCTGTTAAAGGAGTTTTGCACTTGGTAACCATCCATTGCCAATCTTCCATTTCTCAAGCATTGTCCTCCAACTTGACCTATCCTCCTCATTACCTAAAATTGCTTTTAAACAACTTAAGAGCAAAATTAGTAAGAAGAATAGGTGATAAAATGCATACACACAAAAAATACTAAAATGACAGAAAATAACATTCACACAATAACTAATAAAATGTCTAAACTAATAAAGTTACTCTTCACACCGATATTGCCAAATCTTCCCCGGCAACGGCGCCAAAAACTTGACGGGTATTTTACATACGTGCAAGCTAAAAAATACCGAATTACACCCGTTCACTGCAAGTATACAGATCAACTAGTAGTTAAGGGTATATATCGGGTCGATCCCACAAGGAAGGGTGAACAATTACCGGTATTACTAAAGCTTCTCTATTATTTAGACTATCAATAAATTATAACAAATTTAACCTACTGAAATTATACAAAATGACAAATGAAAGCTCCTTAGGTTATGGTATCCCTAACTACTCATGCAAGTGCTATATTTGGATCATTAATTACTACATCTAGGCTAATTATGGTGTAATTTCCTTATGCATTTGAATCCTACTTTCGTAGTGAATCAATTATACTTATAACTAATCCATACCTATTCTCATGGTTATGAAATTAGCTACAAGTTCATTTCTTTAGTGAAATTACATGAAATGAATCACTAAAAACCACATAGGTGCACCTCTACTTTCGTGAGTGTACTCCCTATGTTTAGCACTTCTTGAACTAATGTTAAATCTCAATTTTCATTGCAGAAATAACACCTTAGATAATCACAATTAATGGTACCAGATTAATCATGATTTAAAGAGCCAAAGTGCTAAATAACTTGCTCAAATCATAGCAGTTAAATAGCCAAATGATAAACACTAACAATCATAGAAAGTTCAACCAAACCCAAGGCATAAACTTTAGAAACACATAATAGACATAAATTCCAGAACTTGCATAATAACCATAGTTAAGAATCCAATACAAAAGATAAAGAATTGGAGTAGAGATAACCCATGTCACTTGAGCTTCAACTTCTCCTTCTTCATCTCCATCTTCATCCTAATCTAGCTATTATACAAGAATGGATTAACTACACTTACTACACTATCCTACACTAAGGAAATGAAAGAACTACATTTCTGCACTTTAAGTTCTCCCGTATTCTCCTCTGGTCCCAGACCACCCAAAATGTCTCTGCATATAAACTGCTCAAGAGCTCCATTTTTCCAAGTCAAATTCCACCTTTTGATTCCCAAATCTCAACTTGTTTAGGATAGTCAATAACAAATGTTTTTGACTTGAAAATAAGCCACCTTGTCTGCCCTTTTGTCTTCTGAAGCATGTGCACCGAATTCCCTTGCATCTTATAGCTGGAAAGTGGTATGAACACAAGGGAAATGGCTGAGTCAAAATTGCAGAATTTCGGCCAGAAAACGCGCCTACACAAAACGCGGTTACAAGTCACGTTTTGTGTACTCGCGTATTCACTTTGGCCTTACTTCATCTGTGATTTTCTCTATTATAAAGGCCGAACTGGCTTTTGTGCAAAACACAAAAGTTGTAGCCCTTTGAGTTAGCTTTTCAATGCTTCAAGAATCATCCAAATCGGAGTTGTATAGCCTGAGATATGATCAAAATACTAAACACTGGTCAGAGCTCTGTTTTCCACTTTGGACAGCTGAGTTGAATTTCGGTATTTCAACTTTTTGACTGATTAATCCGCTGAATTGGACTTTAATGTCTTCATACCAAATGTAGATATATCTCTTAGCTTCAAAATGGTACCAAGATCACCTTGATCCGATCTGTGTAACTCCAGATATAGTCAAAATACCAAAACGTGTCAGAGTTGTCAAACCTGACTTTTCTTGCATTTTTCCTTTTACACTTCATATTTTATTTTCACCACTTTAATCCATCTTCAATCATCCAAATATCTTCCCAATACACTTCATTTGATGATTGAATCATTAAACCTATAAAATATGAAGTTTTTACCATAAAAATCAATAAAATGCAATGTTTAGCCATTTTAACATAAAATGTAGTTTTTTACCAAAACCTTAGTTATTTTAGTTATAAAACTAAATAATCAAACCAAATTAACTAATAAAATGCACTTAAAAATACGTAAAATAAATCCTTATCAATTACATAATGGCAGATTATGGGATTTGAATTTGAACAAGCATGTTATTAGCTAAACACTTGGATCATTGGTTGTGTAGTGATTAGTCATCGATATTGCTGGAGGACAAACAATGATTCAAGTATGGGGAAGTTGATAATGGCTAAATTTGTGATCTTTTTGAAAGTATTTCATATCAGTTTTGAGTCCATTTGTAAGAATCATTAGCATAAATTGTCCATTTTATGTCACTAATTTGCACCTTAAGTGATTAATGGATTAGTTGTGATTTTATCATTTACTTGCAAAATTTCTTTGGTTTTGTAGGTAAAATGATTAAGTTTAATTAGACGTGAAATGAGTGAGGATGATGAGCTTGAGGAGTCACGAGAATGGCTAAAAGAAATGGTGCAAGGAAAGGAAGAAGCTTAGAAGAAGGAAACAAAAAAGAAAAAATAACTGGAGAGAAACTATGGGAGAATCTGTCCGCGGTTTCTCCTGTGGTTTGTGGCTAGAACTTCATTTCGCAAGGCTCTGCACAATCCCTTGGAGAATCCCTCTAGGAATCCGATCCAGGGATTCATGGTAGTTGTAACTTGCAAACTTGCATGGTTTCTCTTTCTCTTTTTCTTTTTGATAAGACACAAAAGGACAATTATGTACCAACTTTTGGAAGATTTAGAAGTTTCTTTTATTGACTTTTTACTAGAAGGTAACATTATTGAACGAAGAGAAGGAGTTCTTGACAAGAAAAAGAATTTTTTCTTCTCTTTTCTCTCTAGCTTAGTTTAGAGAGAGTTTTAGATCTAGTTTTCATTTACTCTTGAGGAACTTGAAAAACTCTTGATGTAACCGTGTATTTTTTATGGCGATGAAGATGATGAAATTAGAAGATCTTGTTTCTTCACTTGAATAGGCACTTTTTTCTCTTTACTTTCTTTGTTGTGTCATTAATGCTTTGTTACATTGAAAACATGAACATTGTTGTCAAATCTACTGTATCTAGCTAAATCTTCTTGTTCTACGGATAGATGAAACTATATGTGCCTTGATTATGGTTGAATAAGATTGTTTATTGCTATATCTTGTACTTGCTAGTTCACTTATTCTTGCTTTAATACTTGTGAATGCTTGATCACCATTTACAAGCCATATTAGTTGTTGTTAATCTATGAGAATAGTTGACAATGATGGAAAGGGAATAGGTGGAACCTAAGGAGTAGGCACACGAAAGTAATGGTACATTTAGGTGGATGATTTTGACATTTATTGATCTAGATTAAGTCTTCACTTTAGATTTCACCACCAAAGTAGGGAAACTATAGTGTGGACTAAGTTCGGTTCATTGGCGAGAGCGAGTTCCAATGACTTGAGTGAAATGCATGCTTAGCAAGACAAAAGCATGCGTGATAATTGACTATTCCATCCATAGTTAGGTACATTTAGTGGATTCGATACCCTAAGACACTTGTGTTTAGTTGAGTTTCTCCAAGTTGTTAATTTGCCTTGCAATATTTTCGCATTTTGTGTGGCTTTTCTTAGTTAAAAATTATTGAGTAGTTTAGATAATAGAGTAAGCAAAAAAACCTTAGTAGTTGAGAGTGATCCTCATGGGATTCGACCCTATTCCCTATGTACTACAATACATGACCCGTATACTTGCGATTAACGAGAGAATTAGGTTTAAAATTAAAGCACAAGTATAAACCTCACCAGTAACATTTGTACTTTTTTTCGCTTTTGTGCCTTAAGAAATACTGTATTTTATTGATTCAATGAATTTTTGTTTGTAATAACAAGAATTAAAACTTTTACTTCTTAATTAACACTTTAAATACCAAAAAAAAAAATTTATACCATAAAACAATATTTATCTCTAAATTCGCCCCTTTCTATCGCCAAATTCTAGGTGCAGAAAGTTCAATTACTAAAGGCCCACAATTAACTTCTTCACTCCACAATCTAGCCAAATTCCAACATTCGAACCATATGAGGTTATCTTACGAAGTCACATACAAGAAACCCCAGTTTTTTTAGCTAAACATGAGAATTGAGGGTATTAGTAAGGTCTAATGAGTTAGGGTTTGAAAGCCTAACCTCAGCCCAAATAAGAAACTAATTTTGTTGGTCCAAGTACGGATCGTACAAAGCTGAAATTAAGGCCCGCCCTCGGCCATTCATTTTTATGAGCTTTGGGATGAGATCCAGACAGCCCGAAGTTTTGTTGAATGCTTATGTATATACTTTTTTTAATAATTGTAAAAGAAAAATTAAATGAAAATAAGTTTATATAAATATTTGTAAATAAACATTAGTGCACCAATACAAAATTATCACAAAAAAAGATACCAAATGAAATTCCAAAGGACATCCTGTATTTGGTCAACTTTTTGGTTCTACTTGTACATCTTGTTTGATTTCAACCGTGTCATGTGTGTTAATCGTGAAAGCATCTAGCGGTTACGGAAGATCAAAACCGGAGTCATTTTTTGCTTTCTGGAATGGCGAGTGACAAATAGCTGAGGGCCCAGTCGTAATTAGCTGACCTATTGAAGGCTAAGCAAGAATGGGCGAAGTTGTCCATTAAACTAAAATTTGCTCTAGTATCTAATTTTAGCTCTAACAATATCGCCAGCTATTTGTTTAGTTTTGGTAAAAGTTGAGTTCATATTGAAAAAGGTTAATCTATGATTTTAAAAGGAACTTAAAATAAGTAGTGTGGCATTATTAATAGCCATGCTTCTCTTGTTATGGATATTTTTTTTAAAATTTTTTTAGTAGGGGAGGGATTGGCAATTTTTGTTTTTTCAACTTAACTAGTCATGATTTCGTGCATTGCACGAGCTTGTATTTTATTTTCTGATGCTTTTCAAATTAAATAAACGACTTTTGCCAAAATCACATAAACATATGAGAAAGTACAGAAAGGGAAATGAGATGTCTATAACTCCATCCATCTATTTTATAACAACTGCGTTGAAGAGTATACTGAGAAAATAAAGCCAGCCAAGAAAATTCAATATTTGAAAATTTCATCAATATATATTTTTTATAATTTTTCCTTTTGGTTAATTCCAAAAAAACCCATGTAAGCTTACAAATTGCAATACTTTGTCCCCTAAATATTCATTTACAACAATCACCACTTTATGATTTCTAAATTTTCTAAATTGCTTTACAGATTTCCTTTTTCATCTTCTTACATGGCATGCACATGTCACTAGTAAAAAGACTAATAATTCCCAAATAATTCAGGCATGATTTTGTTTCCAGGAGTATCCTTATGTGTAATGGACTTACATATGCACACAACTCTTACTCAGGCATGTATATATTTTTTATGTTATTGGTGATATATGCAAGAGTTATTGATATTTATGTTTTTACAAACGGGTATTTTGAAAATGAAACTAGGCCTAAAATATTTAGGTGGTTATTTATTCCTTTTACTAGTAGGGTGTGCATGTCATTTGAAGAAATGAAAGGGAAATTAGCACTCATTTGCTGTTTGTATTTGATTAAGAAAATTTGACTACCATAAGAGGGGGAAGGTGGACATTGATGTAATTTAATGTTCAGGAGGCAAAGTGATAAAATTGTATTCTTGGAGGAAATTTTTTAGAAATAATCTTTTTTCCTTTTGAAGATAAGTAAATGAGCAAAAGAAAGATTATCGAGGAAGAGACAAAGGCGATTGAATAGAGGACCAACTCAAGTGATAGTAAGAAAGAATAAATTTTAAAAATTCAATTTTAGATTTATTAGGGAAAAACGTTAATAAGAATCAAGATATTTAGTAGCCCATGTGATAAAATAAGACAGAGGTTGACCTAAAACTAAAGGAGTTGATGTTTCAGTTTCTTGCAATTTTAAGGCTGAAAAGTAATTGCACTAAACCAATCCAAAACTATATTTGTTTAGATGCCCTTACTTGCTAAGTACTTTTGTCCTCCAGAGTTAAAATGGCAAGGTTTTTAAAAAATAAAATTACCATACCTTGTCAAATCAACAAAACTCCTTGCAACTTGTTAAACTTCATCACACTTATCATATCATGTTTGTCAGATTAAAGTTGAGTTTGATCCCCCTTCCTCCTCTCAACTTTTTAAATCTCACTCCTCCCCTGCTTACTTTTTTTTTTTTAAATAGAGTTTGACAAATACTAAGTATATATAATTGTCATATATGCTCGGACAATTTTCAAAATTATCTATTGTGTTTACTTCTTGCAAACAACATATGCAAATGAATAAGAGCAAACCAACTGTAACAATAAAAACAAGAAAGGCAATCTAACCACCATATTCATAAATATTAATGTGGAGGGAAGGGAGTGCAAGTGAGTAGTCCCGAATTTGAATCCTCCCACTTATTCTTAAAAAAAAAATCATTGTATATCATTTCCTACTTCTTGAATACTTCAGCCCTTCTAATTTCTTTGAAAAAACTGAGTTTTGATCTTCTCAAGTGTTGTGAGGGCATCTTTTATGTTGATCCTGTTCTCTGGGACATCTAAAGTGCAACTTAGTGCAAGTTGCAAGATAGATGATACACAAGCTATGTTTTTCGCGACTTGTTCGTCCTCTGGATGAAGTAATTTCACATCAATAACTTGATCTACAGAACCTGGTAGTAATTCTTGGATCCAATGCCTAATGCTTATCTCTTCCTTAAACATCTCATCCTTAGGTCGTTTTCCAGTGAATGCTTCAATCATGGTAATGCCAAAACTGTATACATCACACCTTGTTGACACTAGTCCTTCTAATCCATGCTCTATCATAATTATTGAAATTCACATTAGCATGGCAGCAGGGGAAAAGAGAAAGCAGTTTAAAAAGATTATAATGTCTTCATATTCGGAATAGAAGTGTTATGACATATTGCATTGTGAACTTGGTTTGGCTGACGAGTTCTAGGGATACTCGTTAAGATAATAAGAGCCAATTTTTTGACAAGAGTAAAACTAATTTGAGAAAGTATTTAAATGCAGGTGAATAATATTTGTGAATGTGTATTCACATAACAAGTTAAGTATTATTAAGTATCTTAATGAGTGCTTCAAAAGCACGTGCCAGATTGCTTTACCAAAAACTAAAAGTTATAGGATTAGAGCCAAGAATAATAACCTGGGGCGATGTATCCAATTGTTGCCAAGGTTTTTGTCTGTACACGGCTTTCTCCATCTCCCAGCAATTTAGTAATCCCAAAGTCACTAAGATGACCGACCATATCTTCATCTAGTAAAATGTTACTAGGTTTCAAATCACAATGAATTATGGGAAATGAATACCCATAATGAAGATATTCCAACCCACGAGCCACATCAATCATGATGTCCAATCTTTGTATGATACTCAGGACGTGGTGGCCAAGATGGAGCCATTTCTCCAGACTTCCATTAGGCATGAATTCTAGTACCAAAGCTTTGAAGTCCGGATTAGAGCAAGCACTGATTACTTTGATCAAATTTCTATGACGAAGGCGGCGAAAGACTTCGCATTCTAAGTCAAAAGTTTTCGATGTGCCATCAAGTTGCATATCAAAAACCTTTATAGCCCAAATTATCCCATTTGCAGATACCCCTTTGTAAACTGAACCAAACGTCCCAGATCCAAGCAAGTTACTTTCACTGAAACCATTTGTTATTCGTTGAAGTTCATGGTAGGATACCCTTTGATGTGCTGTTTCTGGAAACAAATCATGGGCTAAAGTCGTAGTCTTCTTTCTTGTAAACCTTTTCATCAACAAAAGTGAAATGGCCAAGGCTAGGAATGAAGAACCTATTGGCAGCAACACAAGCAAGAGTATCTTTTTCTTTGATCTATGATGAAATGTTTGACAAGGTTGGAACCAAGGAGCACCACATAATGCTTCATTAGCAAGAAAAGATAGGATTGTGAAGTTCTTAAAAGGTCCTCCTTGAGGAATCGGTCCTTGTAGTTTGTTGTAGGAAACATTCAAATACTGAAGATCCAAGAGTACCTCCAGTGAGTTAGGTATCATACCAGCTAAACTGTTGAATGATAGATCCAAGTGCTGCAAAGCCAACATTGTCTTGATGGAGTCTGGAATTAACCCTTGTAGATTATTATGCTCTAAGGAGAGTTCTTGTAAATCCTGTAGTGCCCAAATAGTGCCAGGGATATCACCAGAAAACTGATTCACTGATAGATTCAGTTTGATTAGTGCCTTCATGTCTCCAATTTGGGAGGGCAAAGAACCATTGAGAAAATTGATGGACAAGTCAAGCTCCAACAGATCAGTAAGGCTCCACAAGCTTGTTGGCACGCTAGATGTTAGATTGTTAGAGTTTAAATAGAGCCATCTCAATGAAGAAATACTCCCTATGCACTCGGGTACCTTGCTAGACAGCCTATTGCTTGCCAAAATTAAATATGCTAAGTTGGGAATATGACAAAACTCACTTGGAATTGGTCCTTGTATCTTGTTATCTTCAAAACTTATCCACTGAAGTTGTCTTAAATCTGAGATGGAACTTGGAATTATTCCTGTCAAACCATTGCTTGCCAAATCTAGGAACTCCAAGTTGCTCAAGTTGCCTAGTGACCTTGGAATTTCACCTCCAAGTCCACAATGAGACATATTAATTGAGTCAAGAGAGTTGGAAAGATTTCCAATATACTCTGGAAGATTGCCATTCAGTGGATTTTCATCTAGCCACAATATTCTCAAATATCTGCAATTTCCTATAGAATTGAAGAAGGTCATATCTCCAGTTAGAGTAAAATTGTTGCTTGAAAGAGCTAAGCGTTCTAGGAATCTTAGGTTACCAAGAGAATCAGGAATTGCACCAATAAATTTATTATCTTCCAAATCTAGATGTGTCAATTTAGACGCATTGGAGAGAGTTGGCAATATAATTCCAGTAAATTTGTTGCCCCCAAGATAAAGCACCTCAAGATTGGGTAAAGTAACATCTAAAGTCGAAGGAAGAATGCCCGAAAAATCATTGCCATCTATGGACAGTACTCTAAGAGTTGAAATGTTGAATAGCTCTTGTGGGACGGGATCTCTTAACCAATTCATTCCCAAGCTTAGTATCTCCAATTTATAAAGGTGACCAATCCCACGAGGTATAACACCTGATCAAAAACCAATTACGCAACAAGTTAAATGAGAAGAGTAACCAATTCAACTGAGGAATACTTACATAATAATTATACATATATATCAAATATATATGAACAATATAATATAAATATATATCAAATATTCTATATGCACAATAAGCAACAATCGAATGGAAGTGGACAGAAAACAATACATTACTTGCCCCAAGTACCCATTTTATTAATAAACATTGTCTACTAATTATTTTTTTTGTATTTTTTCATTTTATTGCATCATTTCTTAGCATTTTTTAATTCGTTACTTCACCCATAAAAGAAAAATAAAAAGAAAAAATCCAGTCTTGTTAGCAACAATATATGGGACTTAAAAATCAAATAGACCATTTTGTGCATTTGTGGCCTTTAAGGTGATGAGGATTAGCCACTTTCTCAATTTTAAAGCCTTTTAAATGCCAATGTCATAATAAATTACAAAATGTAACTAAGATTTCCTTTGTGTGCATTGTAAGGGTAAATTAGGAAGAGAATCACTTGTCAACATTTTCATGTCATTTTTGTATGAAATAGGCTGATTTCGTTACAATAAGACTCAAAATAATGGACATTAGCTTAATATCCAAAGCCTCAATAGTGCTAAGTAAATTATTAGAGGGACCTCATGGTATATTTGGAAAATTATCTCTTTCACATTTCTAGCCTAATCCATAAAGATTTTTTAATAGGTACCCATTCAACATTCGTTAGTAAAATGATTTGCATCCAATATGCAATTTAATACACTTATTTACATTTATTTTCTCGTTTTGTATTTACACATTTTCCTAATTTAACTTTATTGTTTCCAAAAAGATCCCTTGTACCAGTTTTAATCAATATCCACTAAGTACCTAATAGCCAAAATTGTTCATCAAAGTTGTTGTCAATTTAGTATGGAGCTTGACAAAGATGAAATTGTCACAAATTAAACTCTTGACAGTGTTGATGTTAATGGTACATAAAGTACTAAGAATGTAAAAATTTATCCACACTAAATTTCACTAAGCAAAATAAGGGTGAGAATGATGATCTTGAGGCCTGATAACATTATTCTTAAGATGTTATTTACCTTGACTATACAAAATATTTGATACAGAGTTATGGTAAATTATCCTTAAAATACAAGAAGATTTAGAGAAAAGAGATAGCAAATTTTCTAATTTTCTCACAAGAATGATCAATTACAAAAATTAGTTTAATTGCGAAGAGACTTATTAATTTAGAAAAAAGCTATGTTTCAACAAAAAGCACAAGTAATCAGAAAAATTCCGTAAATTTAAGAAACTATTTGGTGGCATAAGATACTTTTTAATATGAAAAGATGCCAAAAGATGTGTGAATATTTCTACCTATCCCTCAAAAGATATTTCTACCCGTCGACCCCTATCCAAATGCAATCAAAATTGGATCATGGCCCAGATACGGTTGAATGCTATGACCAACAAGGATGCGGCCCCGAATGGCTATTGATCAAACAGGATATGAGGCTGGCTTTGAAAAGACTAATGTTTGTACCTTTTTAATCTTCATGATTTGGTCTGGTGATGGATTCGGCTGGAATGACACTTGAATGCGACACCGGATATTTGATCACTTGATCTGCTTGTGTTTCTTTTGAATTTTCACACATGTATATCCCTTAAAGTTCCATTCATACATCTTTCAAGAGTCATTGTACATTTCCACGTTTCATTTGTACATTTTTGTCTTATTTGAATATCTCCCATTTTATTTAACAAACTAATCTAATAATTCGCCACGTAGTTTGTAAATGAGATATCAAACTAGTACTAGAAAAACTATGCATAAAGGCAAGTATAGTTTGATTTAAACTTTTCCTTTAGTATAAATATATTAATATAATCTAACCAAATTAAGGTGGCTTATGGCATTAAACCTTGATTTGCAAACTAGATTAGATATACCACACACACATTATTATGAACATGATCAATTCACAAAGAAATTCAGTAATTTTACTAGCCATATGCTCCTTTCTAAATTCATAATCATAAACAGAAGTAAATCCAAACTTTTTCTAGAAGTTGCATCACTTCGATGATCATATAGGTGAAGTAACCTTCAAAATTTCTAAGATAAAGTACCATGAAAAACTTTAAACTTCATTAAGAGTATAAATTCAACACATAATCTATTAATATCATCATGCACTAATAGGTGGAATGGTACACAAAAGTACTAGTGCTCATAATCATACTAGTAATATTAGAATAAAGGCTCAATTCCCATTGCTAAGTGATTCTAGATGAAGAATTTCAATCCCATTCCGAACCACGTCAAATTCACTAAGCCCCTTAATAAAGCCTTAATCAACCAATCCCCTAAGTTGTTGGATGTTCTTAGATATACAATAGTCATGAGGCCATCTTTTCATACTTGTCCAAGATACTAGTGTCTTAGACATATTTAGACTAATATGTCTAGAGTTATCATAATACACTTTTTCAAGACTTCAGAAATAGTGGCTTTGATGTTACAGTATATAGAGACCAGAGAATAGGTTGCGGCAATAACTTAATATCAAGTAACAAATTCCTAAACCACTCCACCTCTTTGAATGTAGTGGCCAAAGTTATAAATTCAGATTGCATAGTGGAATAAGCAATTACCATTTGCTTCTCAGAAACCATGAAATTGCACTAGCACCACCCAAAATGAATATCCACCTAGTGCGAAATTCATATCATTGACACTAGTGAACCAACTTAGGGGTGGCCATAATTTAGATCTGAACCAGAATTGAATCGAAATCAACCTGACAGTTTGTTGAACTGGAACCTGAATCGAATTTTGGAAATCGAAATCGGAACTATAATCGTGACTAATGGTTTAGGTTTAGACTTACCAAAATTTTGAACCCAAATCAGAACCAATGGTTTATTACCCGTGCAAATTGTCTAAGAAAATATTTGCTGCCTAAATATATTAGACCAATTTAGAGTTTAATATCAATAGTCAACATTTAATACCAGCAATTCCAATCGTATTTCAATAACGCATTGTCCCATTTTATTAGTATCTCTATACTCCATGACTAATCTAAATCCAAGACGAATCTAATCTAATCAACAATGAGATAGTTTTTCATAAAATTTGCATCACTTTTTTTTTCTGGCACATTATAACACAATAAAGTTTTTTCTTTTCCTTTTAATTCACTGCCATATTTTCTTAAAATCAATTTATAATAACAAGTGTTTAAATATAGTTAAAATAACTTGAACTATAATCGGAAGAAATCGAAAACATGACTTGAACCAGAGGTTCAAGAACCGTAATCGTAATCATCTCTATAAGGTCCGGTTTAAGTTCTACCTTTCAAAAGAATTGGAACAATCAGTTTTTAAACTTGAACCAACGGTTCTGGAACTGTGATCATGTCTAAACCAACTAGCATTAGAGTAACCTTCAAACACCAGTGAAAATTATTATAAAAAAGCCCTAAACTCTTAATCCTTTTAAGATAACCACGAATTCTTTCAGTGGACTTCTAATGGTTCATACATGCAATCTTGATATATCTTACAAGTCAACAAATTGCATATGAACTATCTAGTCTTGCAAAATGCATTGTATAGATCAAACTTCCATTGCACTTGTATATTCAATTTGAGTAATTGGATTGTGAGAATGTTCACATATTTCAAGTTAGGAACAAAAGGACTACTCATTTTTTTAATATTTAGATATCGAAACTTGTTCGATATCTTATCATTATAGTGAAATTTTCATAAAGATTAACCCTCACTATTTATCTTAAGTTTAATACCCAAATAGCATCTCTTTTTCAAGGTCCTTCATTTTGGAATTTGAAGAAAGATACTTCTTAATATAGAAGTGTCCTCCACATCTGTTATATTTATATCAAGAATAAGCATGTCATCTATATAGAGACAAATGATTACACCATTTTCTTAAGTGAACTTGGAATAAATATACTTATTAGCATTAGTGTACCTAAATCCACTTGAAAGTAATATGATTCAAATTTCTCATGCGATTATTTAGGTACTTGTTTTAAGTTATATAATGACTTAATCAGTTTGCATACTTTCTTTTCATTTTCAGGTATAACAAAACCTTCTAGTTGTTCCACATATACAGTCTCATCTAAATCAGCAGTTAAGAATGTTGTTTTTACATTCATTTTTTTTTTAATAACTTTTTTATTTTATTGATGAGAGAAAATTACAAAGCATAAACTCGTGTTACATACGTCTTATTTTCCGAATTGAAGGTAAACCTAATTTGTCAAGGCGAATTGCCCCACGAGCTTCCCTTGGGAACATAGTAAAGCTGTCATATACCTTGACCTTTTGATGTGGGTGGGAAACGCCCACATTAGACAACGCATCAGCAACTGTGTTAGCCTCTCGATAGCAGTGTGAAAAATGAATAGGTTCCTGCAGGAGCTTCCAAATCTGCCTGATCTCCCTTCGAATCTGCCACGGACATTGAGTGCTTCGTTGAATGATCCCAACTAAGAGTAGCGAATCTGATTGCACACTTATATTTTCGAATCCCCTATGTTTACACGTTTGAAGACCGATAAGGAGAGCCCAAGCTTCTGCACGGAGAGATGTAGTTTCTCCAAAATAAGCCGAAAAGGCAATCAGTGTTTACATTCATTTGATGTAGAAATAGATTGTACATTAAAGCGCTTGAATGCTTCACCCAGTAAGTTCTTTGGCAAACCAAAATTAAAAAATATAGAATTAACCATGTCTTCCAAAGTTCTATTCTTTCTTTTAATCAAACCATTTTGTTATAAAGTATATAGTGTACCAGATTGGTGTATAATATTATTTTATTCATAAAATACTGAGAATTTAGTAGGAAAATATTCACCTCTCCTATCACTTCTCAATATTTTGATTTTCACATTCCATTGGTTTTGACGAAGTGACTTATAAGATTTGAACATGTTAAAACATTCATATTTTGTTTTCATAAGATACACATGAATAAATCTAGAACAATCATCAATAAATTAATGAAATACTTATTGACACATCTTGTTAGAAAAACATTTAACTTACATACATCTGAATGTACAAGTTTAAAGAAACTAGTATTTTAGCCCTAGGAAATGGTAATCCAATTAATTTTTATTGAATGCAGGTGTGACACTTCTTTTCTTTATTACTTGCATAATCAATTGGCGACTCAATAAAATAAGCAGAATTAGACACTTTAGTGTTGCTTATTTTGAACATGCCATCACAAAGAGAAACATCATGCAACATTATTCTTTTCTTGGATAAGATTATTTTATCCAATTCTAGTACAACTCTAAAGCCATTCTTATTGAGTGTATCAGCCAATGGAAGATTTTTTCTCATATCTAGATCATGTAATATATTAGTGAGCACTAGTTTTTTGCTAGATGTGAATTGCAACTGCAAATTCCTGTGTCATGCACCTTAACGCTATTATGATTGCTCATTATAACATTTTGAATAAAGTTTTTTAAAAAGTACATTGAGCAAAAGAATTAGTATATAAGAAAATATTAAAGCCAAAACCAACTTAATAAATCATAAAAATAATAGATCAATTAATCTAATAGAGAGAGATAGAGAAGAGGTCGGGAATGATAGGGAAGAGATTAAGAGACCCTAACACTAGAATCTTTATTTATAGAGAAAAAAGACGAGTAATTAGTGCATAGTGGGCCTTAGGAAAATGACTAAGCATATATGGATTTGACTGATTAAGAATAATCTTAGCATTTGATGAAGATAATTGCTTTACAAAGAAGATTATTGTGTTGGCTGTATCCTCTCTATTTCCTCACAAATTATACAAATATTTATTTATGTATCTATTTCTCTCTATATCTTCTCTAACTCAATTTGTTTCAAATACTTTATATGTTTGTGTAAATTTGACTTTTATAATTTACTAAAGTAATTGGTTTCTTTGTCCTTGTATTCTTTCTACAAATTAATGAAAATTTTCTCCATATAATATTTTTATTGGCAGTGAAGTATAATCTTAGAAAAGTTAAGATGCATTATGTTGTTTTATGTGAGCAATTACTACTCTCAACTATTAATAGTTTAAGAATGCTTTTTCCATGATTTTATTGGGACAACTTAGAAATATCACTTATTTAGTTGGAATAAAGATTAAAGTAATTTATTGTAGAAAGAGAAGGGAGTTTGTATGAGTACTTCAATTTAGGTAAGTAATAAATGTAAATCAATTGATAATGTATTTATGATGTCACAGAGCAATTGTGATCTAATTATAGTTAGGCCAACGAGTGAACGGTGACCCTTAGTGAAATCATTTTTTTTTAGTCATGGGGTTTTGAAACCTTGATTTAATCAGCTTATGATAACATAAGTAAACATCAATAAGTATCTGGTTGTTACCTGTCAGGTTAGCAAACTGTATGCCTAATTGCTGCAAATTAGTGTGATTGCCGATATCTGCTGGGATTTGACCTGTAGAGTGGATCAATCATGATATTTACATAATTGCTTGAAAATGTATGTATGCATATATACAAGCAATTGTTTTAAGAAATACATCTTAAGCTACCGAAAATGGTACTGAGTAGTTTGCAAGATAAGATGATTTACATGTGTTCCCGGAATAATTCAAGTTCAATTTGTATATACACACACAAACACACACATATGTGCGTGTATATATCTATTATGTATGCATTTATAAAGGGGAAGTATTTATGGACTGTGTTCCCGGAAAAGGGTACTAAGTAGTTTTCAAAATAAAATGATTTACCATATATATATATTATGTATGTATGTATAAAGGAGAAGTATTTATGGACTGTGCTCCCGGAAAAGGGTGCTAAGTAGTTTTGAAAAGAAAATGATTTACCATATTGGCTGCAACTTGTTTGGAAATTGGAACCATTACAGCTATAGTGGTCATCTCAATCCGTGGTCCACCTCCTTGTTTCTATATCTTGTGAATTATAGTGATCATACTACGTCGTGTTTTTGGCAGAGTTTTGTGGACAGATGGAATTTAAATAACGAGATGCATATTACTTTAAAACATGATACAACGTATATCTAACGACGAATCCCGCAGCCCACATGAAGGAAATGGGTAAATTACACATTATTTTTCTTTGATTTAGCACTTGTACTCTTGTACATAAACTTCTTATAATTTAAACTAAAGTATCAGGGTGACTGATCTCTCCGTCTATAACCGAATTAGGCATGTCAATGGGTATGATTCGAGTTAGATTCCTTTAATCCAGATTCAGATCCAATAAATTTAATTGGACCTAGAACCATTAAATTTAGTTGAATCTATACCCAAATCCAAATCCTTATCGGCCTGAAAAAATAAGTACAAATTCAGACTCTCCTGGATCTGGGTACCCAATGAGTACCCGCTGTATTTTTCTAAATACACTAAAGTAAAAATATATAGATTTCAAAACAATATAAACGCCATCCAATTTTTATTTTTAAATAATAAAATTAATATATAAAAAGTTGAATGCAATATTATGAACCAAAAAATAACTATTATAGACTGCTTCGATTTATTTTTAAAACTTCAATTGTATCTACGTCCAATTTTTCATTTATTTGCCTATACTTTTTTTCTTTTTTCCAAAAAAGTATTTACTAATTACAATTACAACTAGGATTAACTTGAAAAGAGAAAACAATCTTGAAGTTTTACTGTATTCGATCCAATGACCATAGAATATTAGAATATTTTATAAATTTACTAATATATATGTATGTACATATAATTTAATTATATATATGAGTCTGGGTAGGGTTTGATATGGGTTTGGATTTGGATGTGGATCATAGAAAAGCAAACACTACAGAGATCCGTAACCCTTTTATAGGGTCTGGGATTGAGTAGAGTCTAGATTTGAGAAATTAATTCCAAATCCAATTCAAGTACAGTGGATTTGGGTTGAATTTGGATAAAATCCGATTCATTGACAAACCTAAACGGAAATGACTAAAATGTCAAATATACTCCAATGTAAAGATGGAAATTACTTGTTAACCATAAGGGCTTGTTTATAAATTTTGAAAAGATAGGAAAGTTATGCGAAAAAGCGCTAAATAGTAATGAACTAAACTGTAATGCACACTACACTTACATATCTTGGCCATTTAAGTAATTTTAGTTTTTAGACAATTACATCTAGACATTTATGCTAGTTCCTTGGGTTCTACTCTTCTTGTTCCTTCCCTGTTTCTTAAATTCCACCCCTCCCTTGCTTAAAAAGAAAGCTAGTTTCACTAAAAGCAACGGTTTTTGTGACTTTGACATTCTAATTCAAACCATAAGAGTTATATATTTTTTAAAATCATACTTCCTACGCCCCATATATTTAGTCATGATTGGGGATATGTGTTTTTTATACACAGTACACTCCATCAAAAAAATTTTCCTTTTGTTTCACTTTTACCCTTAATCATATGCTGGTTAAAGTAAAAAATAGAAAACAAACCCATCACATTTGTTTTTCTGCATCATTAATGAAGGGTATAAGTTGAATTTCAGAATATAAAATAGTTAGGAATGTCAAACATAACAAATATTTTAGAACAGCCAAAAAAAGAAAATATGGGAACTTCAATAGGATAGATGAAGTAATAGGAATTTGATGGAAAGCACTAAATCACAATAGGGTAAAGTATTTTTCTAGAGGAAATTGTAACTCAAAATAAAGAAAACGTATCTAATGGTACCTTGAATATCGTTTGCACCTAGATATAGGTTCCTAAGCGCAGTTAGATTCCAAATTTCTCGTGGAATATTTCCTGCCAGATTATTGTATGACAAGGACAAGATTTGAAGCCTCGGACAACCTCCAATACCAGCAGGGACTGCGCCGCTAAACTCGTTATATGACAAATAAAGCCCTTGGAGTTGTGGCAGATGATGGCAGATACGTACCGGAAGGTAACCAGATAAGGTATTATTCGAAAAACTAAAGTGCTGCAATGACGAAAGGTTAAATAAAGACCGAGGCAAAGGGCCTTCAAGTTTGTTATTTCCCATGTCAAGGAACTCCAAGTTCTGTAAAGCGCTCCAGTCTTGAGGCAGATTTCCAGTCATGAGGTTCGTACCTAACCTGATGGTCTCTAACATCGTTGCATTAGAGAGCGTTGTTGGCAATGAACCAGAAATTCTGTTACTATGGAACGAAAGATAACGAAGTCGATATAAAGCTCCCAACCATGATGGAAATTCACCATCAAAGCTATTGAATGCAAAGTTGATGTGCTTGAGTCGACGCAAATGAACCATCTGAGTTGGAAGATTTCCATGGAAGCTATTGTTTTCAAGATCCAGCCAGACTAAGAAGGAGAGATTCCCCAACTGTGGAGGAATGGTTCCAAATAAGCCCAATTTGGGAAGCTGTATGGCGGCGACTCTTCGATGGCGTCTGTTACAAGTGATTCCTATCCAGTTACAAACAGAGGTAGAAGTGGACCAATTGACTGGAAGGATATTTTGGGGGTCGGAAATGGCAGCCCTGAAGGCAAGAAGAGCGCCTAGATCATGATCACTGGTGTTGTTATGGGCAACAACGTTAGTGGTACTTGAGGAAGCTGTACCTAGGCTTGCGACCAAGGCTGCAAGGAAGAGGAAATAAGCTTTCTCCATATTCAATTTCTTTTCCAGAACGTGGATGTATACTCGTCTTGTCATAAGGAACATATATAAATGGATTGAAGCACAACAACTCTTCTTTATTTCTATTTTTTATTCTTTTTTTGGTCTTTGGAGAAGAGTACCTTTATAAATATGATAGTGATGGCACCGTGGCGGTAAAGTAGACCTTGCATATGACTTTTCCATCTTGTATAGTATGGTAAACTATTTTAAAGTGTTTTTAAACTATTCAAATTATCAACTTCCAGTATTTTATCTATTTCAAGTCTCATATAATCCCCTCAAAAATAAATAGTATCTAATTTTGATTCTTCGATCTATTTCTACATTAAAGTTAATAAATTTGAAGGTAAAATTTGATGAATCTAACAATGGAAATAGACCGAAAAAAGTCAAAATTTAACATTTTTTTATTGTTGGTGAGTGATTTTAAGACTTGAAATATATGAGCGACTAAAATTTGATAATTAGAATAAGTTAGGGGCTCCCTAGGCAGCTAATGTGTATAATAACCTCGCATACGACTACCTTATAAAAAGTTTCTGACATGAACAAATTCGTATGTCATGGAATACGAGAGATATGGAGAAGCTCCACAGCCACACATCAGCCGTGTGGGGATTTGAGTACATGTATGTGCAATAATCCAATGGTAGTCATCTCTTATTTGTCGATTTAATGTGAGCTAAATTTTTGTCAGGTTTGGGGAATCGGGCGGAGACTAGATTAGCATTTTTCTTTGCTTCTTGGTCGACGGGAGGCGTTCTAGGCGCGAGAGAGAGAACTTGAGGAAATTGTTTTTTTTTTTCCTTAGGTAAGCAAATTGGTTTTTTTTTAACTCAAAATATTTAAAAGGGCAAATTATCTAATTGGCCCTTGAACTCTTTGTCTAGGTAAAAATAAGCCCTTCATCTATTTTTTCCTGACTTTAAACCCTCAAACTTGTAAAATTGGGCACTTATGACCCTTTTAGCCAATTTCTCCGGTTTTGCAACCGAAGGCCAATTCACACGAATGTTATTGTACTTCTTCGAAGGGCATTTTTGTCGCAGCTTTGGCAAGTTTCAACTTTCGACAGATCGAAGCAGAAAAATTCATCACTTCCGGCCAAGTCGTAATTTCACCACTTCAAATCCCATCCCGACTTCGAACTCCCCTACCCATTACCGTAATTTCAGCTCTCTACTTCCTCATCAGCGTTGCCGGAATCAGCTTCTTTCTCCTCGCCGTCCTTCACCCCAGGCCCGCTCCTATCTTCCGCTGTGGTCACGTTCAGGACACTTTCAGAGCCTTCTATTCTCTTTCCAGCACTTGGCAACTTGAAGGAGGAGACTCTGGCATCGGAAATGCCACTGGCACGGAGCGGCGGAAGCTTCTTGGGTTCGTCGGAATTCAGACGGGGTTTTCCTCGTCAGATCGCTGAGAAGCCTTGAGGAGTACTTGGATCCCTTCTAAGCCTGAGGGTCTTCTTAGGTGTTTCCAATCGGTTCTTCTTTCCTTTTTTCTTTTTGTATGCATTGACCTTGAACTGGTTCAATTGAGCTATTTTTTTGACGCAATCTAGTTTGCTGGGAGAAAAAATTTATAAACTAATCAAGAGGACAAAAGACTGGTCTAATCACTCTATAATCATGCGTCTCTACTTTGTCAAAAGAGGCAAAAGAATCTGGCTTTCGGTTGGTTACAAACCGTAGGATTTCCTATTATTGCCATCCCACTACTCATCTCCTATTTCCATGGCCGCAAAATTGAAAGGCCAAACACCAAGCTAGTATTGATGAAATATCCTCTATTCATTGCCGCCGCCGCCATCGGCCTCTTGACCAGCATAGGCGACTACTTCTACGCCTACGGAATGGCTCGGCTCTTTGTTTCGACCTCTTCCATCATCATTGCTTCACAGCTAGCTTTCACTGCTGTCTTTGCTTTCCTTCTTGTCCAGCAGAAGTTTGCTGCATATTCAGTCAACACCATTGTTTTGCTGGCCGTGGGAGCTAGGGTTCTGGCTATGCACACCAGTAGTGACCAGCCCAAGGGTGAGTCCACCAAGATGTTTTTTTTTGGGGTTCCTCATGACGCTTGCAGCCGCGGCTTTGTACGGCTTGATTTTGCCGGTGGTGGAGCTGATGTATCTCAAGACAAAGCAAGGTTAAAATCGGATGAGGGTCAGGTTGAGAAAGCGGCGGCGGCGAGGGTTTTGCAGAGGGAAGGACGAGGAGTTGTTCCCTTTTTGCTTAGAAGATGTGGACAAAAATGTCCTTTGAAGAAGCACAATGGCATTCGTGTGAATTGGCCTTCCGGTTGCAAAACTGGAGAAACTGGCTAAAAGGGTTACGGGTGCCCAATTTTACAAGTTCGAGGGCATAAAGTCAGCCAAAAATAGATGAGGGGCTTAGTTTTACCTAGACAAAGAGTTCAAGAGCCAATTGGATAATTTGCCCTATTTAAAATGGTGCGCATGTATGTATATACGTGTGTATATATGTATGTACATGTATGTATCTCTATATGTATGTATATATATGTATATGTATATGTATGTTTCTCTATATATACGTGTGTATATATATATACCTACATACATATACATATACTATAAGCAAAGGATTTAAAGAACGTGATCGAACTGTAACAACTTGAGAAAAATAGAACAACAGTTAAATGAGCAGTTAACAGTACAATTGTGCTGCTAATAAAGACTAAAAGATAAACAAAGCTATATTGCAAGGGCAATTAACAGAACCATACTACTCTTTCCATGAGGACTATACCACGGCAACAACTAACTTTCCGTTTCTCGAGTTAGTAGTCTCACTTCAAAATTTTCTTCAATTTTTTGTCCTCATTAGACCCTTAAGTAAATTATTACGAGAGGCAGTTGTAATTATGATAAACCTCTAGGGAGCAATGTAAGATATCTCAAAGACTTTGCAGTTTTTTTTTTAATTTTTTATTCAAGAAGAACTCTAAACCTTACAACAAAGCATTGTTGTACATGTCTAATTAAATTTTTTCTAGTTTCATCTAATAAATGTAATTTTTATAAGATTTGATATATTTCTCACTAAGTTGATGTAAAAAATAAAATTTAACTACACTAAACTAGTATGAGTGATATTATTAATATTATAAAAATTACAGCAATCAAATGTGACAAAGAGTCTGTTAGGAAGGTAAGTTTTTTGCCTAGTTTTTCTTTTAGAAAGTTTTTAACAACTTTAGTTACGATAATCTAAAAAAACTTCTCAAAATTTTTAAAACCCACACCTACAATATCCAAAAATGCATAAAAAATTTTTCCCCTTCTTTCTTCTTCTTCTTCCTTCCCACACCTTAGTCTACTACCACCTCCGCCATCGGCCAGCATTGACCACACCTCCATTGGTGCTAGTGCAAGTGCCAACCGGTGATTCTCTCTCTCTCTCTATTTTCTTTCTTTCCTCCCTCTCTCTCCTTCTCCTTCTGTCCCCTTGGAGTTCAAATTTGGTATTTTTAGAGTGATTTTTGTGATTTAAAAAATAAAACATTAAACTTAATTATTTTATCCTATATTATGAACTAAATAAAGAGATAAATATATTTAAAAAATTTTAAATTACATGCTATCCAATACAATAAGTACTTATTAAACTACATTTCTAAACAATATACTTAAAAGTATTTAAGCACTTAATAAATACTTTTATTCAAAGCTATATTTAGAAAGTACTTTTTAATAAGTTATCGCAATCCAAACGAGTCCTAAATAATTTGGACGTCCTAATCATTTTTTTTGTGAGAGAGGACGACCTACTATGTTAGGAAAATTCAAGGTAGAAATGTCTTATGAAAATTCAGTCAAGTCATAAAACATAGTGATAATTTCATAAACCTCCCCAGAGATTTTTTATAATGTCATTCAAATCTCCTGAGGTTTTGTAAATCTTACTTACCTCCTTTGGATTAACATTTCTTGTAAAATTTTAGCCCCTTTGGAGAAAATGTAGGAAAGATAAAACTTTTGTTTCAATACTACTCTTATGCTATCCAACTTGTGAAGCTTATAACAACAATAAAAATAAAATAAGATTAAATTTGTATAAGGTTTAAATTTGTTGACTTAGACTATTTATTTTAGTTGTATTGGAATAAAAGCAAAATTTACACCTTGAAAAATTCACATGTATGAACAGATTATTTTAGTTTTTAATACAACTTAAACTACAACATGTATTAAAACATATTTCCCAAAAAAATTTCTTGACTTCCTTAATTATAACTATCTACAAAATTTTTAAGGTGTTAATTACTCATCAATATCCTCCAAAGTGGTTGACCTTGATCATATTTAATTTATCCATGTTCTTTATTAACCTACCATGACCCTAATATAGAGAAATATAGACCATTGTTCGATAGAAATTTTTTTAATTTACGGCTTTTAAGTTAAATAGTTATTAAGAGTAAGGGTAATGTTATTAATTTGTGGTCTTAGGAATATTTAGTTTTGTCAAATTGATAGGCGAAATAAGTGAGATTTTAAAAATTCCAAGAGAGCTGAGTGATATTATAAAAACCTCTTGACATGAACAAATTTCTATTTCATGGAATACAAGATATGGAGAAGTTTCACAGCCACATATGAGCCATATGTTGGGAATTGAGTATATGTGCGTGCAATTTTAACAATCGATTGGTAGTGATCTATTATTTGTAGATTTGATGTGAGCTAAATTTTTGTTAAGTTTAGGGAATAGGGTAGAGACTAGATTAGCTTTTTTCTTCTTTGCTTTTTGATCGAAGATGCCTCAAGATACGAGAGAGACAAAGAGAGAACATGAGGAAATTGTGCCTCTAGATTTAATTTAATATTTGTTCTTACTGTTTGTGCTTAAGTTGGGGGTTTTGTAAAGTTAAAAGCTTTATTGTTCATCCGAACCTTATTAACTAGACGAGCTGAGAGGGTATGACCCAAAAAAAAAAAGTTAACCATGTTTACTAAAATAGCAAGGTTGTATC